CGGGGAGGGAAGTGGGGAGGAGGAGGAGGAAGAGGGGTAAAGCTGCCCCTCCTCGCCTAGTGTTTGGGAGTGGAGGTGTCTGTGTCCCCTCCCTTGGGGTTCGTTGTAAACACTGGGGCATCACATACGCGTACGGCGTGAGAGCCGAAAATGGGGTTTAAACAGGCTTTAGGAGCTTAGATATAACGTGTGTACTTTCTACCCCTGCCCATGTCTCTCTGCGCTGATTGCAGTACGTAGAATGGGTTGGATTGGAAGGGACCTTAAAAGGATCAAGTACAGTGCTAGTGCTGAAAAGACATCCTTCTCTGAGCTTGAAATTCTCTGGAAATTGCAATTCCAAATTTTATGCATTCCCAAAATACAGTGTGAGCAGGTTGGTGCTTAGTTTGTGTCTGCTAGTTGAGCAGGATTGTATGTGAATCCTCTTAGAAGTAGTATACTAGCATATATGCACTATATATAATAGGATAACTCATTTACTTTGTATCTTCTTACCCATGTAGATGAGGCCCTCTGTGCCACCTGAGTGGCATGGTTTAGCAGTGGACTTGGCAGTCCTGGGGTGATAGTTGGACTTGATGATCTTAAAGGTCTTTCCTAACCTAGCTGATCCTATGATTCTTTTGCCACAGCAATCACTAGCATTATTTATAATGTGCTAGGTGTGCTTGTGGTATTTCTTCTTCTTTTTTTTTTTTTTTTTTTTTTTTTTTTTTTTTAAACAAAGTGTTTTTTTTTTTTTTTTTTTTTTTTTTTTTTTTTTTTTTTTTTTTTTTTTTTGGTAAAGCCAAGTGCTTAGCTTTGTTTTCAGGGAGCAGGAAATGGTACCGTATCTAGTCAACCAGAGGAGAATCAAACCCCATAGTTCACAATAGGTTGCTGCAATAACCATAAGTTATGATGGGTGTTATTCCTTTGCCAAGGTAAAAGCAATGTTATTTTACACCAGATAATGCCGGGTTCTTTGCACCAGTATGACTGAAGGAACTGGATTGTGATTCTTCTGTTTCCATTACTTCCACTATTTATGGGTGTGCACGGTGGATTAGGAAACTGATCCAGGAGCAGTGAGCCCTCCCACAGGCAGGTGTTTCACAAGTGTTCAAACTCATGCTGCAAGAGAAGTAACGTGTTGTGCTTGCAAGGAACCAGATGCTAGATTTGTTGTGCATTCTCTTATTTCATTAAAAAGTGGTGTTTAAGTACAAGAAAATACAGCAGTTGATCTCTTTATTTATGTCCTGGTTTCGGTAGAGATGCAGTGAAACACAACTAGGATCACAAGAGCTGCTTTGAGTCTCATCTTTTCTAATGTACATTTAATAGATTTTACTTGTAGCTTTATACTTCTGTCATTCGTTTTTGTAGTATGTAGTTACAGGTTAGTAGGAGAAAGTAGAGCAGGAAACTTTGGCATAAACCCCCTAGATATAAAGATAGATGGCATTGTTACCTAATCCTACTTTTATGCCCTTACTTTATGTTACTGCCTTCATAAAGTCTTATAGTCTCTCATATATTTTAACATATAACACCATGAATATTTCATCATTAGACTGTGGGGAATATGTGTGTCTTTATATTAATAGGAAGGCCATTTACATTTGTATATTGAGAAAAAACCAACTGACAACCCACTTCCCTTTTCAAAGACAGTAGTTTGTAGTTAGAGTTCTGACACAAGGCATTGTAACTGTGAAACAAGTAAGTTGTAGCACGCACTTTACCTGAAAATTCAGACTATATTACAGTGCGTCTGTGCTTTCTTGTAGGATTGCCTTTCAGGAGCATTACATACTGAAGAGAAGAGTGGAAGCTCCCTAGCATACAAAGGTAATACCAAACAATGGTGCTTAGATATATTTTTCAGAGAAAATACATACTAAAACTGTGTCGTTCCTAAATTTATTTTAAGTAGTTTTGTATTTTCTCATTTTAAAGAGGTAGGCATTCTTCATCAGGGGTTTGTTATATCTGGGAGCCAGCCTAGGAATGTTAACGTTCACATAGAGAACATAAAGGATGCTTTAGAACAATGGTTCCTAACCTGTTTGTGTTTAAGTCCTGCTTGAAGTGGTTGGTAGCAGTCCACCTCGTTAATGCATACACTTGGCTTTAACTTAAAGATACATATACATCTATTATTTAGAATGGCTTCTTGAGAAACACATGTTGCTGTGCCTGCAGACGACAGGATAAAACAATGTATTTATCAGACTTTGGTGATAGAAAAAACAGTATATGAATGCAAGCTGTAAAACTTAAGAAAGACTTACCTGGTTTGAAAACTAAATAACCCCTCCCGTAGTTTAAGTTGTTAAAACTTTTCATTCATTTGTAAGGGTGCATCAATGGGTTTTTGGTTCTTAAACCTACCTGATTAGACGGCAATCATTTCTAATTAGCCCTTGTTTATTTCTTTACATCAGCTTCTCAAATGCAAAATAGAATTGTTACTATTTTCTATATTCCAGGTGACATGGACAGCTCACTGGAAAATACAACTATTTCTCTATCCAAATGTTCTTTAGAGTCAGAATTTACTGAAAGTGGAGGAGAGAACAGCATCAGATCTAGGGATTTCCTCCAAAGTTTCAAAGTCTGGGATTGGTAAGAGGTGTTTTCTCTTCAGCTCTCCTTTATCATTTATCTTTCATAACCTAGATAAACCATAAGTAAACAACACATTCAGATTGCACTGATGCAGAAGTCGTTTTAAGATTCTTATTAAGTAAAGAACTGTTTGTGGCTGAGCTATGAAATAATGTGAATGCCGATTTTGATAAGGAGCATTGTCTCGCTTTCTAATCTAATCTGTTTGCTGAAATTGCTAATGGGATACAGGGATGATAGAAACTGAACTTGGAGGAAAGCAACGATTGATGAACAACTTTAAGTTTATTTAGAGATAATTCAATTCCAAAAGCCAAGAAGTCTCTTTTCAGGGATACTTTACCCAAAATATGAAAAATAATTTAAGGATTTTGTATTTCTGGCTTTCCTGGAATTTGGTGATGGGTGATGAAAGAAGAGGGATGTACCTGCTGCACACCTGCTTACAGCCTGAAAATTCTAGTTATTCTTACTAATTTTATATCAGCAACATTACTAATTGTTGTGGTTAAAATCTTGTGAGTACTAATGCCTTTTATCCAAATGATTTAACTCTGCTATTTGTTATCAGTCAAATATCAAATTCTTAGATTGAGCCATGTTTACATTTTTGTACGCACTTCTCTCAATGCTCTACATGTAGTGTGTGAGAAAAGTATCGAGTAATTTCCAGTTACTGCTTTTTTGTATTTGTTTAGGTTTGAGGATGAGCAAGATTCATTTTGTGATTCAGGTGGTCTAGAAATAGAAGAAAAGACTACTAATTGGTCTGAAACTGATGAAGTTCAAAATACAGCTATATATGTGGAAACAGGTAAGAAATACTGAATTTTGAATATTTTTACAACTCTGTGTGAAGTATAACATGTGATTTAAAAAACTTTCAGTAAATGTATTTCTATTCGATTCAGAAATAAAATAATCAGAAAAAATGTATTTTAATTTGGGTATTTAACCTTTCACGTCAGTATGAGTAACGCCTTTAGAATTAGTTCAGGAGGTCCAGGCATTCTTGATGAAATACTAACACTTACAAAAGAAAAATCAACTTTTTGTGAAACTGGTTGCCACGTGACTTTATGATGTAAATGAAGAAACAGGATGTTTTGGAGAGGATTTTGTTTATTTGGTTTGGTTTATTTTAAGTAGCTAGCTGCATTACCAAATAGTACAACTCTGTTAAACCAGCTGTCTTTTTTCCGTTTAAGGATGGAAAACTGGCAGTAGGTAGAGAAAGAATGTTACCTGGTTTTCTGCTAACTCAGGAAATTCAAACTAGAAGATTGTAGCGGGGATCACCTGGCATTCATTCACAACAGACATTTGAAAATGCTGCAGTTGGAGGGGTTTGTGAATCAGTGTAGCTCTGTCTTTTGTGGAGAGTTTTAGGTTTAGGACATGGATGTATTCTTTTAAAAGCATGTATGGAAGTGTAGAGACAGACAGACAACCAACTCCACAGTGGCTATAAGGAACCTCAGAAGCTGGGCAGAACAGATCAGCGTAACTGTAATAGATTCTCATCAAAAGTTGTATTAAATGGGTGGGGACTGTATAAAAACAGCTTTCTGGAAACTCATTCTTTCTGGAAACAAAACAAAACACAACCCCCTTCTCCCCCCCAACCAACCAAACAAAGAACAACTAAAAGAATTTAATTGCACCAGGAAAATTGCATAGTTTATAGTATTTGAGATCAAAGGCAAGATAAACACAAACCTGATGAATATCACATTCACTTGTTTCAGATATGACTGCTTTTTTTCTGATTTCTTTTCCCTTCGCCTCCCCTGTTTCTGTTACTATTTGTGTGGCATTTTACTGGTTATGCTCTCCTTCCTTGCCCATAAAGCAGACACACTGGCTGAACAACAGGTTTGGTGTGCTATCCTGCACCAGCTGTGATGGGTGCAATGCATACCACCAATTAGCCCTGGTTAAATCATTTGCCTATCTTCTTGATGCTCCTTCTCATTGTCCTTCTTCTCCCTTCCGTAGTTGCCTGCCAAATAAACAGCTTAGCGCTAACTGTTTTTGCTCATTGGTCTGAGTTTTGCTATGTCTGTACCTGTCATGGTTTAAACCCCACAGACAGCTCAGCCCCACACAGCTGCTTGCTCACTTTGCCTTCCCCCCAAGTAGGGAGGGAGAGAATCAGAAAGGTAAAAGTGAGAAAACTTGCAGGTTGAGTGAAAGACACTTTAACCCCATGTGCAAGCAAAGCAAAACAAGGAATTCATTTACCACTTCCCATCAGCAGGCAGGTGTGCAGCCATCTCCAGGACATCAGGGCTTCATCACCCGTAATGGTTACTTGGGAAGACAGGTGCCATCACTCTGAACATTCCTCCATTCCTTCTTCTTCCCCCAGCTGTAGATGCTGAACGTGATACCATATGGTCTGGAATATCCTGCTGGTGAGTTGGGGTCATCTGTCCCAGCTGTGTCCCCTCCCAGCTCCTTGTGCACCCCTAGCCTGCTCACTGGTGGGGTGAGAGGCAGAAAAGGCCTTGACTCCATGTAAGCGCTGCTCAGCAGTAACTAAAACATCCCTGTGTTACCAACACTGTTTTGGTTACAGACCCAAAACAGCTCTATATGAGCTACCAGCACAGTACCCAAATTTGCATTTCTGATACTGTCACCTAGGTAATCTTGGTGTGATGTGGTATGTAGGTGCAGTTGGCCTTGCAAAATGTCTCTCCCCAAAAGATAATAACACTTCCCTTCAGTTATCTGTGAATTTTGGGTGTTTGACTATTTTTGAAATCCAGCCATTCCTCACTGTGCTGTCTGCAACTTTCATCGCTTCTTAGACTGTAATCTGTTGTGTCTAGCTGTTTCTCCTGTTGTGACCAGCAGTTTCTTAAGTCTTGTTCTTTTAACTTCAGTATCCTGCCAAGGTCTAGTCAGGATCAAATCACTTGCCTGAAGACCCTACAAAAATAACAGGAGGTTTTGGCTACGTTATGATTCAGTCTCTGCATAGCTTTCATACAGATGCTTGTGAGATTTCTGTACTGAAGTGGAAAGTGTAGTTTTACTTATAAAACTCCATTGATCACTGATGATTTCAGCCAAGTCACGGAACCCAGCTTTGAGCAATTCTCCATAATTCTTTAGAAGATTACTTTCTCATTTTGATACATCTTGCTCTATACTTGTTACTCTAAATGGCTAAAATAACTTTTCACTGTTTTGGAACAACAATAATAACGTTATTTATCTAGGATTAATTTGCTAAAGTAAAATGGATTTTTCCTTTCTATAGGCAGCACCTTACCTTCCCATTTGGCTGCAAATACACAAGAAAATAGTGACCAAAATATTACTAATGGTTTGCTAAAGAAAATTGTAAGTGGAACTAATGCTCAAGCATGCAGTAGTCAAGGCTTAATACCGCCTCACATCAGTCAAATTTATGATGAATTATTTGTCATACATCAGAAGCTTCAGGTAGGAACTCAAATTACTTTAAATGTTTTGTTGAGTAATGTTAAGAAGATTCTTACTTTTGACAAAGAATTCAGAAATTACTTATGTACTAAGTAACTATTACTTTTATACTAAAACTACTACGTGTTACTATTGCTTATACTAGTCACAATTACTTAGGTACTAAAACTCTATCATCATCTACCTCTTCCCCTAAATAAATTTGCCGATTTGGTAGCGGTGCTTTGTCTTGCATAGTGGGTAGATAAGAAAATTCAGCTTGAGGGAGTTTGAGTGTCTTTTGATGCACTGTGGGCATAGAGGGAAACACCTGCAAGTACTGCTTCTCCTGAGAGCATCCAGAATTGTTGTCTTGACCGTAGGCATTCATGGCCTCCTCTTAAAACCCTCCATTCTGTCTTATCTTTACTTCTGTGCTGCTGGGGAATCCCAACAGTTCATCCCCTAGAAGGCCTAGGCCACTAACAGAAGAACTTCCTATATGGTTTTATTCTGTAATAGCTCTCATGGTTCTGCTGGATTCCCTGCCAGGACTGCCTTTGCATCATGAGATAAAAATAATTTTGTATCTCTTTTTCCTCACTGCTTTTTCAGGGATGCTTCCCACTAATCGAAGAAACAACATAGTAATCTAATGTTCAGTGTTGACAGTCATGTCAGACTCTGTTTTGTCTTACAGTTAATATTATTACCCAAAACTTCTGAAAGCAAAAGCCTGGGTTTAATTGTCTAGGTTTATACTTGAACAACCATGTAGAGCTGAATTTTGTATTTTGGGAGGCTGAGCCATCCTGATGCACATCAGTCATTTCGGTTAACATGTGGGGAAACTGAACATAGGTGGCCATCAGGATACTTTTAATGAGTAAGCTATTGTGTAACACACTATAATTTTACAAAAAGCTAAGCATATCTCTGGGAGAGAAAATTTAAATTCAGTATAAATTGTGACAATTTCATGGGGTTTAAAGCCGTTTCAACATTTTTTTTTCTTGATACAGAGAAAAAAAAAGCACAGAAGGAATACGATTTGCAACTCCAGAAAAGAGAGCATTTTCTAGCAGAGCGAGAAGCAGTGCTTTTTAGACATGAAGCAGCTTTGGCTAAAATACGAGGTGTTGAAGAAGAAGTTCACACAAAATTTAGAATTATAAAAGAGGTGCAGTAATATTTTAAGTGATATTTATTGCTCTACATGCCATTAAATTTGTTATCTTAAGCCATCACATGTTTGCTGGGTATGTAATGCTTATTTTTTTAAAATGCTTGAAATCCATAAATGAAAGTTTTATATAAAGAGTACCACGTAATATTTTTGGGGGTTTGTATTGCTTCTTTTTCAGAATGGTGCATTTAATTGTCTTTTGCATAGGTACGTTTCACTGTTACAATTTAGAAAAAGAGGTAACTTGTTTCCAAAATAGAAATATATGACCAATATTAGAGAAAAAAAATTGTGGTCTATCTGTACTTGTATGTAAGTTAAATTAGTATCTTTGCATTAGCTGTGGTTGAAGTAGATATCCTTGGGAAGGCTTGAAGACACAATGAGATCTTATGACATAACAACTATTGCAGAGAATATTAGCAAAAAAACACTCAAAAAGTTCAAAGGAAGAAGAGATCAACCTAACTTTGGGAGTGTGGGAGGAAACGAAATGGTGTGATTTTGCTATAAGAAGAGGTGGTAATAACAACACTGTTCTTGTATTTCGTATTGAATTTAGGTCTTGTAAAAAATTTTGGTTATTATCCAGAAGATCACCAAGAGAAGTCCGGAAATGTATGGACTTTGTGTCAAAACAAAGCTGAGAAACTAGATTTCTTTTGATTGTGCAGATAAGCCTTTCCCGCAATCTGTTGAGGATAAGACTGCATGTTAAAAAGGGGAAAAAGGCGTTGGAGGGGTGGGACCTCAACTTTTGAACAGGGAAAGAATAGGTTTAGGTGTTAATTTAGACATTGCAAATCTTCTGAGCATATAAGAATGTTACACCAGTTGGAGAACTGGCTGGTGAAAACACAGGAAAAACTGGTGGTTATGTGGGAAAGTTTGTGGAGGAAGACAAGAAAAATGGGATGCCTGTCTTCTCAAAATGGAGAGTTCTACAGCCATCAACTTCATGTCAGTTCTCCAAGTAAATAAATAAATCCTGGAAAAAAGCTATGGAAAGCATGATGTAGAAAACAATGTAATAACTAACTACTAGCATATGTTAAGCATAAATTCTCAAATCAGTCTCATTTCCATTACAGCAAGGTAATTGGCATTGCTAATACAGGAGGAGTAGTTACATATATGTCTGGACTGAATTAGAAATGTTTTATACAGTTTTGCATGGCATTTTCATAATCATAGTAGTAAAGTATAACATAAATGTAGAGCAGTTAGTGTAAAGGTGTAGTGAGATAGTAGTTAACAATGAAGTTGAAGGAATGTACCTAGTGGATTTGGAATACCTTTCCAGTCCGGTATTATTCAGTATTTTCATTAAGAAGTTTGATGGTAAGAAAGAGCACATTCATTAAATTCAGTAAATAGCAAGTGAGGGGGAATTTCAAACATGCTGAAAATGAACATTAGGATTAAAATTAAAATCTTGACAAATCAAAGATATGGCAGGTCTGAAAAAAATACTGTTCAGGAGGTGTAAGTATACAGTATTGCATTTGTATAGATATATCAGCTGTAGAAATAGAGGGTGATGGGTGGATGCACAGGTTAAACATACAGGATGAACTGAGTGTTAATGTGCTGATTTTCAGCTACATAAAAGGCTGCAACAAAAAGGAAAAAACTTTTTCATGTCTGTGATAGAAGTAGTAGCACTAAGGGAAAATTAGGTTAAGTATGAGGAAAAACTGATCTAGCAAAAATAGGTAAGCATACAAAGAGGTAGATTGGCAAGACTGTAGTGTAATATTGGAGGACTTAACAACAGACTAGGCACACCTGGGAGAACTGAAATGGTATAGCTGGTTATGATACAGATGACACTACCTGACTAGTAGTGTCTTATATAAAGATATTATGTAAATATATACATATACAGTATTTTCTTGTAAATCTTGTAAATTTCATGTTTCTAAAGCAACATGAGGCAGAAGTTAAACAGCTGACAGAAGTCTTGAGAGAAATAACTAAAGAAAATAGGAGGCTAAAGTCATCATTTGAAACCTTGAAGGAAGTGAACGACTCTTTAAGAAAACAGGTAAAATTAGTTGTTTCCTGTTATCAGTAATTTTACAAGCTACAGTCAACAATTTTAAATATTTGAATTGCTTAAGTTTGCCAAATGGCTGATTTTTTTTTTTTTTTTTTAAGACAAGAATTGTGTGGCTGGCTGAAAGTGTTTTCTGCACCTTTTTCTAGCACTTGAAATTTATCCTCTCTGATTTTTTTACAGTATAAAAAAAGTTGGACTTATTCCTCTGACCCGCTAGCAGCAGCAGAGACTTACTCTTCCCCTTAGAGAAGGTCAGACCTAACTCCTAGAACATTGATGGTTCTGGTGCAGCTCATCTTTCTCTCTACTTCCCCATGCTATAAAATCTTCATGCCTCCCTGCCCATGGCAGGGGGTTGGAACTGGATGAGCTTTAAGGTCCCTTCTGACCCAAACCAGTCTGTGATTCTGGAATGTTAAGTGATGAAAATAGTTAAAGCTAGGAGAAGAGGCACAGTTAAGAAGACTATAGAGGGTTTATGAAGAAGAAGAGAAACCTAGTGATACATTGGTGTAAAATAATGGACAGTACAGAACAGGCTAAGCAAGTGTTCCCATTTCTTCTTTATTGCCAATAAAGGAAAGAGGATAAAGCTATTCTCCTTTTGAAACTGAAAATTCTCATTTCATTCAGATTTGGAAAGTGCAATTGAAGCATAGCTGTTCAAAGATATCACAGGAAGAAATACGTCCAGCTTTGTGGCCACTTGATCACAGCCAGTACCTCGGTTGGCGAGAGGGAGAGAGGGGTGGGCATGAGGGAAGGTTATGAGGGGAGAGGAGGGGTAGTCATGAGGGGAGAGCGGGGCTTGCCATGAGGGATGAGGGGAAGACTGAGGAGAGAGGAGGGGCGCCCATGAGGGAAGATCATGAGGAGGGAGCAGGGGCAGCCATGAGGGAAGAGCAGGGCTTGTCATGAGGGGTCAGGGCAGCCACAAGGGAAGACTGAGGGCAGAAGAGTTGTGGGCATGAATGAAGAGGAGGGACAGCTGTGAGGAGACAGCAGAGGAGGCCATGAGGGAAGATTCTGAGGGGAGAGCAGGTGAGGCCATGAGGAGTGAAGGGGACATCATGAGGGAAGAAGAGGAGAGGCTGTGAGGGGAGATCATGAGGGAAGAGCATAGGGAGCCATGGGGCCTGAGGGTTGACCATGAAGGGAGATCTTGAGGGGATATGAAGGGTGGCCATGAGGGGAAGGTGCAGCAGCTGTGCAGTGTGGGCCACTATGGGGCACAGATGAGGGGTGGCTGTGAGTGGAGATTATGAGAGGCAGCCTTGGGGGGAGATAAGTTTGCCCTTAGTGATACTGTTTAGTGGTGGGCTTGGCAGTTCTGGGGTAACGATTGGACTCAATGATCTTAAAGGTCTTTTACAACTTAGTTGATTCTATGATTGATTGATTCTATGATTGATTCTGTGATAATCATGCTGCTCATTGTTGTATGCATAGAGCATGTTTCTTACATTTAAATGGAGTTTACAATTCCCTTCATCTTTTCTCAAAGAGCAAACTGGTTTTGTAATATGGTCAGTAGCTGTTTCATTCTGCAGAGAAGAAAACTTTCACCTCATTAACAAAACTATTCTTGAACAGTGCGCTCCATTTTTATGTCACTTCTTCATGAAAAGAAATATGTAGTGCCTCTGTTTCTGTAGTGGCATTGTAGTGCTTATTCTTCCCCTGCAAGTTGAAAGGTTTGTCTGCAGATCATCAAAGAGCCTCTACTGTGAAATTTATCCTGGAACAGGTTGCCCAGAGAGGTGGTGGAGTCTCCCACCTTGGCAATATTCCAAGGCTTTCTGTACGTGGTCCTAGGCAATGGTCTCTTAGTGCCCCTGCTTGAGGAGGGGTGTTGGATCAGATGACATCCAGAGGTGCCTGCCAGCCTCAACCAGTCTGTGATTCCATGATTTGTTGAGGAGGTGGATGATGATTTTGTTTCTATCACTTCACATGCTCAGAAGAAAGAACTTGAACTGAAATAATGTAGCTGCTCAGCAACAATATCAAATTATTTCAGTATGGCAGTGAAGTCAAGAAATGAGTTTTGAATTTACGGATACTTTAATATTTTCTGATTCTTTCAGTTAAGTGATGTAACTGAGCTGAACAAGAAGTTGGAAGGTCAAGCAAGAAAAGTACAAGCTCGTTTAGAGAATCTACAAGTAAGGTTTTTTCTTACATGTACCTGCTTCATTTATAGGTGACAAATGAAATAAAACTCATTGTTACATTTTGTTGTAGAGGAAGCATGAATTGTTGACAGTACAGAAGTCTAAGAATGTATGTCAAGTGGTGCAACAAAGTAAACCTGTCAAGCAGGAAAAAGTGATGGTAACATCAAAAAATGCTAAGGTAAGAATTGGGCAAAATGAAAGATTCATTCGAAAAACATTAGGCAGTGGAACATTCTCTGTGGATCTGCTAGAAATTAGAAAATATAACTGCCAATTTTAGTTCACGAGTGAATTAGTTACAATAAGAAAAGATACAGGTTATATTGGGGGGAAACAGTTAAAGAATTAAGCTTGTTGCTGTTGGATTTTATATTGTGTTTGTATATACTAATATATATATTTGTTAATATGGTATGTTTTCCTCTTCCTGTCATGTTATCTTTCATCTGTCAGTTAAGATTATAATGTGCTTGCACTGGTTTCTTCTGCTGTGTCAAAGCAAATCTTAAACTCATTCTGGTTACTGCTACAGTACAGCACTGTTCTTATGAATAAGCTCAACTAAAAAGTACTCAGTCTGAAGTATCAGATAAATAATTTTAATTTTCTAAGTCAAAAATGATTGTACTACTGTTCCTTTTTTTTTTTTTTTTGAGACATAGTCTTTAATAAGAGACTAAATGCAGTGTTCATACACAGTTCCAAAATGATCACCTTGTTTTGCTTTAAATATCTTCTTAGATCACTTGATGAAATGCTTTCTGTCTCCATGTTGTTGCATTTAGTAGCAAGTCCTGTTGCAGTACTCTACCACCATCTCCCAACTGGTAATGATTTTCTCCAGCTAGAGGCTAAACTGTGAAATGTGAAAGATACTCACACCTTCCTACTTAATTAATCTACATCAGATGCCTTAAGACTGTGGTGGTTTAAGCCAGCATATTTCTCTGTTTACACAGGTTTTAGTGCACTTTGGTTACAAGTGAAATATGAACAGTATTGGTAGTTATGGTTCTGAGTGAAGAGGAAAACAGTTTTCTGAAGATTGATTAAAGAAAACTTTTGAAGTCTTTAGAGAACTGTTTGTACAGTCTGTCTTCAGGTACCTCTGGATATCTTTTGTAGACTATTTCATTGCAATGTAGTACAGAGACAGAATGACAATTTCATGAAGTCTCTGTTCTTTTTCTAACAACACTAGTTGCTAGTGTTAAATTTTTGTTAAATTTTAACAACAGTGGATTTTATGAAATACAGTAAAGGACCATTGAAGTAAGAATTTCCACATGCAAAGGACATTAAAGGTTTGCTTTCTCCTGCAATTCATTTGGTCAGAATTAAAAATGGAGTGATTCTGTATGTGAAAGTCTTTACCCAGGCCTTTTATAACCATTTGCCTAAGTACAAAATAAATCATGTGTATATTTTTTCACACCCAGAAACCATCACAAATAGTGCCTGCACTGCAGTGGTGAGGGAAGTGTGGTATGAAAGAGAGAGAGGGAGAAGCAGTGCAGGGTTCTTTCTGGATCTCTGTAAGAAAGGTCTGACAAGAAATGAGTTAGTGAAATAGCTGGTTTAATAAAACAGTAAGATAAAGGATATAGATAGTGAGTAAATCTTATGTCCCCTCAGATGCTGGGAAGCTTATGTTTGTGTAGCATCAGATGGAGCCCAGGGGGATCTTCTCAGGGCATGTTGAGCAGGTGAAGCTCATGGGGAGAAGCTGTTTCTTTTTTGCCTGTTCAAGCTATTATGTATTTTCTTACAAGAAAACAACTCTTATCCATGGAGGACATTCACAGGAGAACTCCTTGTTGCCCTTTTAGGCAAAGACAAGGCCAGGCAGGAGGCGTGATCACTGGTACCAAGTGGGAGCTACCCACTGCTTCTCTTAGAATGAGCTAGTTGAGTTTATCCTGCAGCCAAGCACAGGATAAACTGTAAAGGTGATTGATCTGTGCAGCACAGCACAGGCTCTCTGACACAGCATCTCTTGACTCCTCAATGCACAGTGGTCTCTGGGTGAGGATTACCACCTTCCACCCCTTGATCCACATGAAGGGTCTGTTTGAGATCATTTTTTCTTTTGATACAATGTTTTCACAGGCTCTGAATACAGTAACTTACCTCCCAGATTTTATCAGGCTCATCATCCTTTAAATTATGCATAATATCTCAGAACTAATTTACTGATAAGTTTTAGTCTGTTAGTGTTTTGGCTTAGAAAAACCATTAACTTAAAAGCTGAAATATCTGATGTTGTGTATGTATTACAGCTACCAACGAATTCACAAGTTTATGAGCTCCTAACTTTTCTAATGGATTGGATCTCAGACCAGCATCTTAGCAAAATAAAAATACATGAAGAAAGAGAGGACGGTCATAAACCTCTGGCTGTTGAGACCACAAAGAAGATCTGCACCCAGGAAAGATGTATGAAGGTAAAGCGGTTTGGACTGTTTTATCGTGTTAATGTTTTCAGATTTATGGGGTTTTTTACATGATTCTGAGAATATAACAAATCAGCCTGTTTTGTACATGCTTTGGATACAGGGATTAAAAGAAAATCACTGTTAATAAGTCAGTATTTTTTTCTGGCAATGTGATGTAATAGATAAATTGTCGTTTGTAAAGCATACAGATCATTTTTTGTTCAATATCAACCTGAGAATGTCAGCATTTTATTTCAAGTCACTTCTGTCAGTTGATAATGTCTTGTGTTTTATGTTAATGTAATTCCTTTTTTCTAAGAAGATGAACAAGTCCAATTTAAAATATTTTGATGCCTGTATTAGACATTGAAGTTTCAATTTATACTGATAAAAGGTGACACTCTGCTATACTTTTAACACTTTTATTGTTTTCTTTCTGAGGATACCAAGGTTTGGAAATCAGCGAGGTGTTTGGAAAATCTTCTTTTATTGTTTTTTCTTAATTAAAGATTTATAACCATTGAGATTGGATTTGCCAAGATTGAGCTCAGAGGATGTATATCCACTTTTGCATATAAAGTTTAGTAAAATTTATAATCTGTGCATATGTGCAGTTCTGTTACATGTACTGGGTCTGCCCAGTGAGTATTTGCATATGTAATCTGCTAAACTCCAAGAGAAAGTTGTGGGTTCTATTTGTTTGGTTTTCACTTAGGTTTAGTTTATACAGTATTTTCATATACTGCATGTAATTTTACTTTTGTATATTTTTACAGCTTTTGCCTATAGCTGTTGAGCAACTCCAGTGGATGCCATTTGTGAATCCTAAACTACACATGCCTATAATTAAATTTATTTACTGGTCTGTAAGACAGGTAGACACTGGTGTTCAGGTAAGACAAGTAGTCCTCTTGCAGTATGGCTTGTTTTGTTTTTTTTTTTTTTAAACATAAATTCATAGAAGATATTAATCGATTTTGTGTTTTAAATGCATATGAAAAGTGGATGCTTTCAGGTAGTATATATAAAAAGCCTGTGCTGTTTTTACAAAGCATAAATTAATAGTGCTTACCAGAGATGGCAAGTGAAAAAATAAATTCTTTTTCAAGCTAATGTTAAATTTTGCATTGTGTATCTAAAAATAGTTTTCTTAAGTAGTTGATCTCTATTGTGGTGTTTAAGCATCTCAGAAATTATATTTTTACATATGTATTTACAAAACTTTGCATTAGAAAAGACTATTTTCAGGTTCGCTTTATGCATGGAATTTGTGGAAAGTGATGGAGGTGTGTAACAAAGCAGTGAAGTAATTTTGATTTTTATGTTCTCTGTTCAATGTCTAACCTCAAGGCACTCCTTACTTTCCAACTAGACTGCTGTAAGAAAAGATCTAGCAGTATAATAAAGACAGTACACATACTGTAGAGGCTCATTATAGTGCACAGTGCTGTCAATAGTGGTTTTGCTAAAGCAAAGGTAGGAAATCTTGTAAATATATTGAGTTTAAATTCAGTAGACTAGTGAGCTATTGGTTTTATTGCTAATAAGAAACTATATTTTAAATGGGCATATTGTGAAGTTTGATTCCGAAGTAATATGTCTGTATAGTTTATGATGAAAAGTCTAATAGATCTGACCTGTACAGTGTTCTTCAGGTTCACGATTAGACCTTGATTCTGTAAATGCTTTTACAGGATATGATTTCAGGCAGCCTTCTAAAATAGACCTGGCTGAAGATGAGCTTGTTTTGGAACCAGAGGCAACTTAAATAATGTCAGCGTGTTGGGGGCCCTCACTAGTCTTGTTATGAAGTATGTTTTGGTAACATACAGTGATAATGTTGTTCAGCTGCTTTTGTAACACAAAATAGTATATCCTGTACAGATTATATTCCAATACATGGTCAAACAATTTGCTATCTAATATTTAATCACTAGGGGAACATATGTGTATCTATATAGTATACAGGATTTTAATGTGTTTTAATGTTTACACTAACTGTGTGCATTTTTTGAAACAGCACGCAACAATGACATCAACAATGAGGAGACTTGGTGAAGATATTTTCAAAGGCATAGTAATTAAAGGAAACCCACATAGTTCTGAACAGTCTACAGAGAGTAAATCAAAATCAGCAGCTTTTTTTAAGAGTTCCTGTATGCCTTTGAGATTTCTCTCAACTTTAATTGTGCTTAAAACAGTGACCCAAGGTAGGTTCTGCTTTTTAAAATATTTATTTCAGTCATGTGCCTGGATAAAAAAACATTTCAGTGATACTGCGGAGTCTACTATGCTTTATTAGTGAAAAATGGGTTTACTTGAGTTTTTACTACCTTGTGAAGAAAAACATATTGGAAACAAGTATGAACCTTGCTATTAATCGTTTAAGGTTGGAATTTGCATGTTCCTTTTAATATGACGACTTCTTGTCAGACAAATCAACATTTCTGAAGAAGGGGAAAAGAGGTGTTGGTAATTCTGTTTTAACTGTCACTGCAGCAGTGACTGGTTTGCCAAGATCTTTATTGAATTGAATGGCAAAGGTAGTTGCTCTTCTATAAACTAAATAGCAGATTTTGCACAGTTGTTTGCCTATCCCTGAAAAGCTGATCAGCTTCAGAGTCAAGTGTTTCTTTTCTGACATATTAGTTATCTTTATAGACAAATTGGATGTTCATAGTTATGACAGGGGGGTTGGAACAAGATGATATTAAGGTCCTTTCCAACCCTAACTGTTCTATGATTCTTTTTCTGATGTATCCATAGTCACACACAGAAAGCTACTTGTGTAGTGGATTGTAATTGTTAGATCAAATTGTGATACAACGTATGTCCTGAAATTGCTTTGTCCTTCAGTCTATTTTAGTATGCAGTCCAAACTCCAGCCCTTACCTGTCTGCTGCTCCCCTCTTCTCCTACCAGGTCTGGCACTGCAAATAGCTATCTGTAATACATTATCTACATTGAAAACTGCAACTCTATGAAGCTGTCAGTTCTTGATGCAATTGTCCTTTTAGATTTCACTGTTAAATAGACTCATTTCCAAAAGCACCATGTTCTGTTTACATTAAAACATTTTAGACTTCAAAGCCACTTGTCAAATGGCCGTTTTATCCAAAATATTCCAAAATTCCTATGTTGGTGTAGTTTAGTGATGTACTTTGTTAACAAGGCAAAAGCAAACAATGTCAGAAGATAAAGCAGCTCTGAAAAGAATGAATTCTGTTCCAGTTTTCACTCTGCTTATGCAGTTTTTAAGATGCTGTAGCAAATCTTGTCAGTGGGGCCTTTTTTGAAAACAGATGCTGTCTGAAAAGACTAAAACATTTTTATTAAAATGATGACAAAAATTGACTGTTTCTTGTGAGCTCTGAATGTTAAGCAAACTATGAGAAGAGGCACAAACTCAGATTTTTAATGCTTTCCTTCCTTATCCTTTTGACATAGAGATTGGTATATACTTCTCTGTCAGAACCCAGAGAATAAAGACCTTAAATCAATCTGACTAATAGGTATTTTTTAATAATAACTTATAGATTAACTTTGCTCATTTAAACAAATTCTTCCCTATTTCTAATTTATATATGACTTTTTTTGAAATTTCAGCAATAGTACATAATCGGAGTTATGCTTGAATGTTCTTAATTCTTAAATCTGCACATACTATCAAGTTGATCTTCTGACTGTATAAAGAATTGATTTTTTTTGTGTATTTATATCTTTGGGGGAAAAAGAAAAATCAAATATCTTCTTAAACAATATAGTCCAGACAGCCTTCAGTGCCTGCTAGGGGATTATTGTATCTGAAACAGCTACATCATTTTCAGCTCACATTTCTGCCTTTTGTTGATCAAAAAGTAGCGGGTGGGGGCATCAGAGAGTGAATGACTCCTTTCACTGTGAGGGTTTTTTCTTCCGCTTTGTTCCCAGGATCCTCCCACCTTTCACACTAGCAGATACATATAATAATAAAGTGGGATTCTCTACTTCAAATGTGTATCATTTTGTGTTGGCAGAAAACCAGAGGAAGTTGGGTCTTCCTTGCCTCATGGGAGAGGGAGAAGGTAAAGGTTTCAGTGTAGACACAATGGGTTAACAAGAGTCAGGGTGTTTGGACAGTGAGAAAAAGCTGTGGAAAATGTATCTCAAACAGTAGAGTAACTGTTCTTTTCAGCTGATTTGTTAACTGCTGCCTTCAGTTATGAAGCCTTTTCTCTCTTCAAAGGAAATAGGAAATGAGGTGTTGCAGATCCTTTTTATGGAAGTCAGGCAGAAAACACTAATTATATGCCATCAAGAGCAGGTGTAAGAGGTGATTATTGCCTACCTGCAGCAACTTAGGAGTACTGTGGTGCTGCATAATTGGGATTTTCTGCAAGAATAAATTTTACAGGGATAGCATAAGAATTAATGTATCTATAACCCTTTTCCAACTGTTTGTGATGCTAACCACTTACTTTTCCCTTTTCAAAGACATTTTGAAAGCACAGGTCATTTTGATAGCAAATACTTGATCAGTAGGGTTACGACTGAGCATCTAACCTAACTTCAGAAATGGTCTTACTTTGGTCAGGAGGGTTGTTCTAGCTTCCAACTTAAATTATTCATTGTTTTTATTTTTGCTCTCTTTTTTTACTCAGAATGGTTTGTATTTTAAAATGTTGTTACTACTAACATATCCCTTCTGCTAGTAACACAAAGAGGTGGAGACAGGTTACAGACATGTTAATTTTCAAGGTAATCCTGAATGACCTTGCCAGAATGTCAAAATCTGATGCTTACTTTGGCATCTGATTTTTTTCAGTCTCCTGCATGAAATTTGTTATGAATTTTGGACCATTTCTTAGATAGCAGAGATCTACATCACAGAATCAGTGTCTGGCATCTTGATTGACACTAAACAGGGATGCCAAAGATTTTAAATCCATAGGTAATGAACAGTGTTCTTGTTCATAGAAGTCATACTTCTGGATTAGATGGTTAAGCAGATGAGTATGCCTTTATGTTTAACTGACCTGTGCAGTATTTATATTGTATCTGCAGTAAATACAGGATATAAACATCGTGGAAGTCTACCCTTGACATCTTTAATGAACAAATGCAGTATTTCAGCTGTTGGAGGAAACTATTTCAGTCAGGATATTTTGGTGGAGCATGATAATTACTCTTAAATCGAGACATTTCTAGAAATGTATGATAAAAAAGAATTGCAAGACAAAAAATAGTTATTGCAGAGTCTTAACCTAAGCAGATGAATGCTTTTGATTAGAACAAATCAGTTTAGTTTCTCATGGTTGCTTTTTACTGCTGCCTTCTATAAGAGGGAAAATAAGATCCGTTGTTAAACATATGTCGCATATCACTGTGTATGAATTTTGATCACTCTGACCACATGGCGCTAATGATCTATGATAAAGTAGCACATTTGGTTTGAACATAGATCCCGTTTTCTTCAAAGAGTCCGTATCCAGTAGATGGCATTGTAGTTAAACTTTTGCTACAGGTTGGATTGTTTCCTTGTACTTAATTTTCTGCACTCCAGATGATGGATGCTGTTCCAAGATACTAAGAAAGATCTGACATCAGGAAATTAAGAAAATTAGATTGCTTCACTTAATCTACATTCTGCGTATAATTTAGTGCACTCCACAATGGATGGGTATATAAAATGCGTGCACCAAAGCTTAAACTACAGCTTTTATAGAAAGGAATGGGAGTAGTTGCTCTTGGGTGACATGGTCTAGTGTGAGGCGTCCCTGCTCATGGCAGGGGGGGTTGGAACTAGGTGATCTTAAGGTCCTTTCCAACCCAAACCATTCTATCATTCATGAAAGTAATTGCTCTTATCCAGACAAATCAGACCTTAGCTCCTTTAATAGAAGTTTCTCAGATGTTGAAACTAACATTGTCTCAAACTGTGCAAGCTTGTAATTTGCTCTTAAGCAACTTGTAAACATATTTTTCTTCAACATACGAGTTGTAGTTAGTCTTTTTCCTCACTCACAATACATTGTTAAGGAATAAAAACAGGCAGAGGATTTCTTTAAATAATAATATAATTTAATATTTTCAGCCATTTAACTTACTGACAGTTACTGCAACAGTAACTCTCAGGATAGTTGTTCACATATTGCTTAATGGTACTATGATTATAGAAGTTTACTGCCTTTATTCTGATATTTTACAGTGGATTACCTGGCTCAGGCATTTGATTCCCTTCGAACAGACTTGAAGACAGATGAAGGGAAGGCCTTATTTTTGGAATACGAGTGTGTGCCTATCATATTAAGTCACTTAAAAGTATCCAGTAGAGGTCTGCTTTCCAGTGCTCTTGATGGATTACTTCAGATGACCACAGAATCTGGTAAATTTGGATAACTAATAAAAATATAAAATCATAATGAAAACTGGTGAGGTAAGCAGAAATACAGTGCAAAAATAACAGAATTCTTCTGTGTAAATAATCTAATCTAGCATTAGAATTTGTTTGTATCATGTAAATTCATCGGAGTCATAAAATGTGTTTCCGAATTGTCTTTCTATGAGTTGCCTTGTCTTTTCTTCTCCCTCCCGGCACCTATGCTTTATATTTTGTCCTGGTTGCTTTCTTATTTATTGATGTGAAATTTTTCATTGCTATTTTTAGGTTGGCTTTTCAGTTTATTCCACTGAATTACCTTGCAGATGTTTTTCTTTGAAGTCAGGCTGTGCCAAGGAAGCCGTATCATGAAAACCTGCCAGCAGGTGGAGATAAAAAATAGGCTTTAATTTCCTTTTCTAGTTTGATGAACAGCTCATCCCCAATCATATTTTAGTTTCTGATAATTGGAAATGGCCTTTTTAGAAGAGATGGTCATGTTTTGTTGAATTTTACTGTGCTGTCACCCTGTAAAGGGTTTATAATCTCATTTGTCACAGCACTTTTCAAAGTGATACAGGCTAAGAATCAGTTGATCAACAACTGTATGAACATACAAAGGTCGTGAGGCATTCTAGTGCCATGTTGAATAAACCTTCTGACTGGTTTGGGTAGGGTTTTTTTTTTAGGTAGAGATTACTCACTGTCTTTTACAAAAGAAAAGGGGAAGGGGCTGATGCTGGTTTTGAAATGTGTATTGTTATTTTGGAAGTATTTTATTACCAGGCATTGTAGTGGTAAAAATAGCAAGCATGTTTGACTTGGGATGGAATAGCACTGAGTTAAAAAGCCACTTTGTACTGATGTAAGTGGCAGAAATATTAAACTAAAGTTTTAATCTTCCTTTCAGACTCTCTTTCTGACATGTAGTTAGTGTGGTCTTACACTAAAGTGTTCTTCCTAATAGTGACTGGGAAAAAGATAGTTGTACACACAAAAGTAACCTGAGCAAGGTGGATGGTGTCTGATATTACTTTGGGTAATGCCAACAAATAACAGTACATCTTCTGTTACCTAGCAGTAGTCATTGTGATATACTAGATACCTGAAGTTTGAAGAATAATGGAGATATATTGTGAGAGACTCACATTTTGCCTTGTTGCTTCTCAGAGAAGATGTATTATATGTAAAATCAGGGAAGGGAGGAGTAGTATTTAATTAAATTGACATTTGATTGAGAATTTATTTCTTGGCAACTTTGATATAAAGCCTTACGCAGAGCCTTTCTCTTTAGTAGAATAAATAGCCAATACACTATTACAGGCATGTTCTGCTCTTTTCCAGTAGAGTGTGTTGCAAGAAATTGTTAGCAATGAGGAGTGTTGTTGACGGGAATTTGGTATTTTCATTCCTATATAAGATTCCTATTAAAAGTCATTAAAAGACAAACTAAAAGGTGGCAGTGAATGTTCAGAGGGCTCACTGTGTTAGATTAAAACAGGAATTTATGGTCAATTTTAAAGCTGTATTGGTGTGCAGCCTTAAATATGAAGTTGTAGGTAGTTGGCCATATACTAAAATATGGAATCATATTACCCAAAAAGACAGCATCTGACCAACAGGAGGCAAAGTCTAGGCTTTCTTTTTTTGCCCGTAGGATATGCAATCACAGGCATTCTTTCAACTTGCTGCAATAATTTTCAATTGGAGTATTCCAATATTTGTTCAAAAATATTACCTTTAGAGTTGAAATGATTAGAAATTATCTTGGAAAAAAGCCAGTTGTTTTGGTTTTGTTTTCTGGATGTTCTTTTTTATAACTTTTTAAGTTTTAATTTTTTTTGTGAAGTTATTTTAAATACTCAAATTTCAGTTGGCCAGGTTGAAAGGTGTGAATCAGGTGTGAAATTACTGTGTTGCACTACTCCTCCCTGTAACTGCTTGTATTTTCTGTTATAAGCGATGAATGCTAATGGTTCTGAACAGTTCAGGCCTGTGCAAGGTCCTCATGTAGGTTCTCTTCCCTGTAAGAAGTATCTTGCTCATGTTCCAGAAATGAAACCTAGATTTCCCTCATATATTAAGGAAAATTATTTAAGTTGCATATGAAGAAAGTACCTACTAGTCTAAGATGAATATTTCTGTTGCTTAAAATTATAACAGTCTGCAGTACTGCTTAAGCCCACTGACTGATTTGGTTTTGGTATGCACATTTTCATATTTTAGATCAGAATCACTGCTTTTGGCTTTAGAATAGATCTGGTACAGTGGGTCCAGGATCCAAGTTTCTATTGTGAGTTCATACAACATTGACAGTACTGATAAGGCATTCAGTTACTGAAAACATGATGTCAAATGCAACAGTTGAGGCATTGGTATCATCTGTTTTCTATCAATGTACAAGACCTTAATGGCAAATTAATAGTCTTACTGTTGTGCATCTTACTGGTACAAGAGAACTTAGTTTACTTTCATGCTATAATAATCTTGTTTCTTTGGTTTTCCCATCTTCCAGTACTTCTGTGGATTCCATTCACTTCTTTTAGTTATACTATATTTGGGGAAAGAAACTTTTCAATTGAGTGAGTCCTTACCTAACCATTTGCCTTCTGTTAGTAAATACTTGCTTCATTTAACCCATGCTAGAAACTTTATAAGTAGCTGAAATTGAGTTGTAGGTAATTTTTAGGATACAAAATGTAATTTAAAATAATTTATGTTTTATTTCATGTCATTTCCATTCTGGAGTGATTCTTTTCCTCCAGATGAGCTCAGTGGCCTAAGTTGAAGTCTAGTTGATTTAGTCTATCTTCAGTGGAAGCAATAGGTTGCTTTTAAGTTCCACAGTTGGGAGAGTTAACAGCTTGTTATGAACCTGACAGTAGAAAATCAGCCCAGCAAAGATGTTTTATCCCTTTTCTCTTCCTACATTCTGCTAATATTTTTATCTAAAAATGTCCATAATGGTGCATAAATTGGTCCACTTCAACCTGTTCAGCCTGCTATTTTAAATGTCCGTTCCGGTAGCTGATGCATGTGAACACAGCACTGAAGCAGCAGTTTAGCTACATTTTCACTGTAGCTATCTCATCAGTACTGTTTTTGTTTCTTGGTCAGATGGGATGAATGCCAGTTCAGGTTTATCATTTTCAGTCTTTTATTTGCCTCTCCATACCCATTACTGGGATTTCAATCCATGTTTATTTTCTGGAGGATGCCCATCTTTCCTTTGCTGGAAAGATTGACTGATAAAGGCAGAATCAAGGTAGCAAGTCCTGTAGGGTATTTTTAATAGTGGTGGTATTTTGCTTGAATCTGGGGCTTGAGATGAATGTTTTAAGATTGAACTTGATCCTTCTTTTGATCTTTGAAACTAATGAGTGGTCTATAAAGACAGCTTTCTTGCATCCCATTGAGTAAAAGGGGAAGAGATACATTCCTGCTCTTTTGACAGGGATGAAAGATTTTGGTACCAAAGATTTTCCTACCTTAGTTAAGGAAAGCAGGCTACCAAGCCGTGATGGGTTTTAGTCCCATCTTTAAGCTATGAACCTGTCTGAAGGTAGAAGTAAGAACAAAACCGTCTCTGATAGTACTGTCGCAGAAAATAGATTCAGTTTCTTGATAAACTCTGAATGTGCTTGGTGACAGATCTCCACAAATGCAGTGCTCTGACTGCTTTTGAAATTTTGAGAGCAAAATGTATTAGCTGCTAAATACTGATATGTTTCAGTTTAGTCAGAAGGCTTATAATGTATTTATTGCTTAACAAAACCCTTACCATTTCCCATTTAAATTAACTATTTAATAAATAAATTACTAGTTGCTTTAAATCATCCAGATTTTTGTAGTATGACACCAGTGGCTTCCAGAGTATCTTCATACCCCAAAGTTCTCTTCCCAAGACTACAGATTTCTTTTATTAACAGATCTTGTTTCTAGGATGGTAGTTGCAGCACTCTGTTCAAGTGAATTCCTGGATGCCAGACATTAAACACTTTCTGGGAACAAGCTAGTAATAAATAGCATGACCTCAGCAAGAAAATTTGCTCTGTGGGTGTTGAAGAACATCACATCATTAGTATTAAATCACCCTGTAGTTGAATGTGTGTCATATACAATCTTGTTGAATACTGTTGTTCCTGTCATCTTGCTTCTCATGCAGCTTACTGTGTTTTTTTTTACCTGTGAATCAGTTAAGAGTTCCAAAGGACGTAGTGAATTTATAGTCACCTATCAAAAATACCATTGTGGTACTGTGGTCTGATTCATGCTTGATTTGAGATCTGCTATTAGCACAGAACTGCCTGCCTCAGTTTCACCTTTTGCACTTTTGCACAAAGACAGTGTGTCTTAAATTCCTCCTACAGTAATGGCTGACTTCTACCATTTAGATTAGTGGGTTCCCCTTTCCCAACCTTATGTTCATTCAAGGAAATGAAACTTGCTCATTAGACATTACAAAGCACTGGCCTTTGCTTTAAATAAAGCTTATGTTTACTTTGTCTTCAAGCTTACTTCTGTTTTACAGAGGAAATATTTTGCATTAGTGTGTGCTTATTCACAAATAGACATGAGTGCACACTGGAAAAAAAGATCTCTCAGTGACACATGTTCACTCTAAGACATATTCTGATAGGGCTTAAGTATGGTTTCTTAACCATATTAACATTGCTTAAGAGTTTTAGTAACTGCAGAAGTGAACTGTATTTAAGCATTAACTGAACCTTACTTAAAATTTTTTTTATTTTTTTTTTAAGAAAATATATATAACCAAGTCTGTGTCCAGATTTACTCATCTCATAGGGGAGTTAAGCCAGTGGAGATAAAAGGATTGTCTCCATAGTAAGAAGTTGTAATTACTTACTTGTAAACTGAAGTTAAGGTCCCTTCCAACCCAAACCATTCTATGATACTATTAATGTTTCTGTGTGGACTGCCTGTATGGACACTCCCTCTGTTCCTTCATGTTGGGATGCTTCCATAACTAATGCTAGGTATTCTAC